GACAAGGCTTTATACTCACGCCGTTCAAATCTTCTACAAATGAGAACACTTGGCCACTCATTTTCATGTTGATTGTAAAGTCACTTGTGTTTTTTAGGGAAATGTTAGTAGTTCCTTTCCACCACATATTATAATGAAAATCTGAAAAGTGTTCAGCCATTGGATCAGAAGGCAAGGAGTTCGTTAAGTTTTGGTACTTTTTTGGAGCGGTGAAACCAAAAGATGATAACAAGACACCCCAGCCATTATAAGTCAGGTCCTTCAAAACGGGCATTTTGCTAATTTCTTTACCAGCCTTTTCGGATAATGTCAGGAACACTGCACTACCGCAAGGGTCGGTTGCAAAACAACAGCCTTTGCTGGGCAGGGAAATTTGTTTCCTCCCAGCGGAGATAGTGAAAGTGACTTTCGGACGATATGTGACCATTGCATTGGGGATACCAAGAGGAGGAAACTTGCAATTCAGGTAGTCACTTTGCGTGCTTGTGATCTGAATGAGGTCGGCTCGAGTGTTTTCTGCGGCAAATAAATTGTTGTCGTCTTTAACCATAAGTCGTATCCATAATGGTAGCCTGTCTGTCAAGTATCGCATGAAAGACTTTGGAAAAGCGTCTTCCTGAATTAATTCAATCAAGGCTTCTGTGGTTGGCTGAAAGGAGCACATTTCGTTCGATGTTTGGCCTGCTGAGCTCGTATTGGTAGAGCTTGTCTGGGCGATAAGTATTTTCAGCAACTCTGATTCTTGACCTGATTGATGAGGAAAAGAGAAATTGTATCCCACAAGACTCAAAGGAATTGTTTTGTTGTCGGATGTAATGATGTGAACAGGCCCTGACTGGACGAGAACATCATTTGGTAGGGTCGAGGAGGGGCTATAGGCTACTTTCAGCCCGCATGGGAAGTTCTCTAGGTTCTTCGTTCGGCATCCGATTGGTACCTCGCCATTTAAAAGCCCCAGTCTGGTGTAAATGCTGTTTGCATTTGATATGTTATGACCAACAAAGATTGGGCTATTCGTGGGAGACACAAAAGTATGCTTGTCTATCCCACTGAGGTCATATGACACCATACCAACTCCAGACTCGTGTCCAATAACTTTAAACTCCGCTTGATCTGATGGATACTGAATCATCACCCTCTTCGGATGGAAGGTCATTTTCAGGGTTGCATCGAAGAGAACAGTCAATACGTTGTTAGGTTTCGCAAGTAATGAAAGATCTTCCGAAAGCCTTCCGGGAATCAGTTTTGGGAAATCAGGAGGTGTAACAACACCTCCTTCACAGAGATCCCCTTCATATCCAGTATTCTGACAATCACATGAAAACTTTTGTGAATCGATGACGATGCATCTTCCTCCGTGCCGACAGGGATTGGGTTTGCAAAGGATTATCTCTAGGTAGAATTCAAACAGAAACAGGAATGAAGTAAGATACTGAACAAATAGGTTAAATAACAAATTACTTATTACTGCTAGTGCACGGAGGAATGAAAACGTCAGGAAAAGGGAACAGGAGTTTAGTGTTCGTTTTTGCTACAATATGAATGCTTCATTCAATGCCCATTCCCCAATGACAACTCATACCTTCACACGTAAAGTTTCCTATGTTCCATGCTACGTCGCTGGAGTTAGTCAGCCGGCACGTTGCAACGTTGCGGCCAGATGCAACGTATCCTTCTGTACAGTCAAGTGTGCACGTGGAACCAAACGTCGTGTGACATGGAAGTAAAACTATGCCTTTCTCTGGTGGATATAGTCGACCACAACTTCTCACTATGTTGATTTATGGAGGGAACAATAGCGTGAGTATTTTAAAATGGATTGACAAGGTAAGTGGTAACGTCCTAACGATACAAGTGATGGCATGCTCAGCTTGCAGTACAAACTCCTCACAAATAAAAAAATTAAAATGTTGTTAAACATAATCGTTAAACAGGAGATTATAGACAAAAAGATTTTCTAGAGTAATAAGCAAATTTGGTGTAGAAAAGATATCGTAGAAAGAAACGTGACTAGAAAAAGCAGAAGGAAAACTGAGAAGTGTGAGAATCTACTGGCTATTCAACTGCCATTGTTGTTACCTTTGCAAGACGTTTGCTGTCCGTCCCACTTTGAAGAACTGAGGCAAGTTTTCTTTCCAGAACCTTGTATTTCATATCCATCCTCGCACGTGAACCAACAGGTCTCATTTGTGACAAATCCGCTGCAGGTCATGTGACCATGAGGTGGGGCAAAGATGTCCTCACATGGAAGTCCTAATTAAGGCGAGGAAAAAAATTGGAAAGGACGGTTATGTTAGATGTCTACGCATTCCTGAGGGCCTAATTCCTTTGCACCTGTTGCTCAATAACATTTGTTCCGAGGTCTAGTACTCTCTAATAGACTCTGAGAAAAACCTTAACAACATGAATTTGTTAATCTAAGGTAGCAGTTGCATAGTATAACCTACCTTCACAGGTTCGCATGTCGGCCCTTTGTCTGTAGCCATGAAAACATGAGCAGCCATATGACCCATGTGTATTGTGGCACTTGTGTTCACAAAGGTGGACTCCTGTATTACATTCATTCACATCTGTGAGGTAAAACGAATATGATCAGCGATCTGTAACTGAACAGTATTCGATCCATACACAACTTTTCTTTTGGAGAGCGGACTGGTGGGTTGATCGATAGATCGATGTTTTATTCGGCCTATGGTCAGGTCTGTAGGGTGGATGTTAGAGTCTCCAAACTTATATGCAGTCATTTTAGTCAACAGCTATATTCTTTAGGACAGTTACAAATCAACTGAAGTTGTTTTTATGTTCTGCAGCGTTGCAAAGGAATGTAGGACAGTCTTACCCCGGCACCGCTTTCCATCGTACAGAAGCTGATATCCCAGGTCGCAGCTGCAGGTGTAGTTCCCTTGTGTGTTGTGACAGATTTGATCACATCTTGCTGAGATGACCGTTTTGTTAAGGCTCTTTACGAACACAGGGGTGCATTCGTCTACATCTGAAAAACAAAAGACATGTTACTCGAGGAATAAATTTCACTGGTTAAGCTGTACGTGTATGGATAGTGTTAACGACAAATAGGTAAATAGCCATCAACTAATGACCTCTGCGCAAAGCAATTACTACTTCCTTAGCGAATTAGCAAGAAAGGTGGTGGCAAGAAGTGCTTTTCAAAACTAAGAGGCCATGGTAAGAAGATGAGTGGCCTTTTACCTGAACAAGTTTTGTTGTCTTTGTTGAGTTCATATCCCAAGTTGCAAGAGCAGTAGAAGCCTCCATGGTAATTGTTACACTTTTGCTGGCAGCCATGATGTCCCAGCAAACATTCATCATGATCTGTAACATAGGTTAACAAACGGTTTCATCCTGAGCGTTTTTAATAAGAATCGGTCACTCAACACCTGTATAAGGCTTCATGGGGAATCTGACCTTGAGGATTACAAGAGGTTGTAAACGAAGACGGATGTGACAGAATGAGCAAACATTTGCCTGTGCTCCTCCACTGTCTCAAATAAACTTGCATCCATTTTCATTAGGAGTAACATACCCGAGCAAGATCTTCCATTTGAATCCAAGAGGAACCCAGCGGGGCATTCACAGCGATAAGATCCCACAGTGTTAACGCACTGGTGGGTACAGAAACCATTATTTGACAGGCATTCGTCAATATCTGACAATAAAGAGTAATATTGCTGTCAGTCTTACAACAGTGGTACTGCGCAAAGAGACAAATAGAGGTGTAAATAAAGCAAGAAGCTGATCTCATTCTGGCTGCCCTGACTATAAATTTTCTCTTAACTATTTTCTGAAAACATGTACTGAGCAAGTCATCTCACCTTCGCAGTAAGTACCGTTGTTCCCTCTAATAAGTTTGAAGCCATTAAAGCAGCCGCATGAAAACTTTCCGGGTTGATTATGGCATGTTTGAGGGCATCCTCCATTGGCTGCTAAACATTCGTTGACATCTTAAAGAAAAACACACGGAATTTATTTGTATCACATAGAGACTAAAGACACCGTCAGCATTTCCTCCACATTAAGCTGATTTACATGGACACCTTGAGCAAGCCATCTCCAATTCTCTCCCAACTGACAAATTAGTAACAGATTGTTTTCAAAATTACCATCACAGATGGTTCCACCACTTCGGAGCTGAAATCCTGGTGCGCAGGTGCACTTGTAACCAGGAACGAGGTTGACACAGTTTGCACCACAAGGCTCTCCAGGAACCCCACAACTGCAAGGTCTTGGTAATAAAGTGTGACATTCGTCGATATCTGAAAATGAGACAGCAGGCAAATACGAATAGATTACTTGGCTCACGAGTAAATCTTGGAGATAGTTTGGGTTTAAAAGGGAATCACTTCCTGTGGAGGCTTAAGGCTGGTCTCTTTTTCGCTTAAGAAATCGATGAATGCAAATGAGCTTCTTGATAAAATGGAAACAAGAGAAACTATTGGCATTTGCAGAAGTCCCAATGTTGTCAAAGAACTAAACGTTCATCTTGAGAATGAAGAAAAAATTGTAAAATCTAGCAGCGCGAAGATGGTTCTCCCTATCAAAAAACTTTCTTAGACCCTCTACAATCTCAATGTTAAAAATCATTTCTTTTCAATCACTTTTAAATGTGATACCTAAATGACCATCGCTAAACGTCATGATGGAAATCATACCCTGACATCTGTGGCCATGCTGGGTGTATCCAATGTTGCAGCTGCACTGATACGAGCCAGGTGTATTCACACAATTTTGGTCACATCCACCATTATTTCTAGCACATTCATTGTCATCTATGCATAAAAACACAAGACACTGCCACTCCTAACGTCACCTCCACCCTAACTTCCATTGAATCGACTTTATAAGATTGCGAGTGGAGATCGTCGATCATTTTTCTACGATCAGCGATCAGTTATGAAAATGGATATGGAGGGTTCCTTACTTTACAACATATGTCAAAATGTGATATTTAGGTAAGCAAACAAGAAATGAATGGTTGAAGAAACTGATTTACTTTTGTACCAATCCAATTCTCTGAGATCGGAGGATTTATCTAGGGGAAGGCAATCATACGTTGCAAATCTGTTCACGTGTACCCCTAAGCGGCTTCTATTTGGCTACCATCGAAACACTTCTAGGAGCACTCGAGGGAGCCCGAATACCTTGAATTTGTGGTGAACTTTCCTCAAATTACCTGCCGATAAGGCCTACATGGGATCTCAGTCTCCAGACTTGATCCCGTCTTAAGGCAAATGAAAACTGTTGGAGTACATTATGGTTTATTAAATTGATATACACCCATGATTAAGATGGGAAAGATAACGAGGAAAACATTGTTAATAACAGAACATGCATGCAATGTAAATGCAGAGTACCATTGCTACAGGTAGACCCAGTCCATCCCGAAGAACATTGGCACCTGTTGGGTGCGACACAAGAGCCGTGATTGGAATTACAACCCTGAGAGCAGATCGCTAAAAGCAAAATAAAAGAATTCATTGGATAAATTTTGAAATAGGCAGCTATGGAAAATTTCATAAATATGAAAATTACTGGAGAAGTTAATGTACCTTTGGTGCATTCTCTTGAGCTTGAATAGCTTTTCTTCCATCCACTGCAGCAGTAAATTATTTTCACATAGACATTTCTGGTTCTTTGGACAGTGTAGTACACTTTTCTTGGTCTGGAAGATAATCACATGTCCAGTGAATTATAAGAGGTACTCAGATTATAATGAAATAGGCTGGAAATTTTAATTGAATTGAAATCATTTAATTGAAATGAAATTGGAAAAGCCGTAAAATTGAATAATACTTAAACACATGGATTTTAAGGAATAGAACGGATACAAATCTAAGCTGGCGGTAGGCAAACCGGTTAAATGAAAAATAGGACCATTACATAGTTGGTAAGAGGCTAAATCAATCTCTTACCCAGATCGTACAGTGATTAATAAACTGTAGGGACCTTACCGTTATGTGGCCGGGGAAGGGCTAGGTACGAAACCATAGCTAGGTTGGTGAGCAAATCTCAAAATGACATAGTCTGCACATTTTATACAAGTTTTCGAAAGGTTGGGTTAATATGTGGAATCTTAAAACGCACTTATAGTCATCACTTGATATATCCTTTTTGACGGAGACAAAAGCTGATTAGTTTTAGGAGGATATTTTTCTTTTGAAATATATTTACTGACCTGGTTGTGTCACATCTGCTCCAACCCCACCATCCGCAACTGGTTGTGGTGTATATGTATGTATTCCTCGATGTAACAGCGGAGTAAGTCTCTGTCTGCACTGTGTATCTGAAACAAACGTTTTGCCTGCAAGATACAAGACATTCACATGTTTGCACATGTGCGTACTTTGAAACCGCCACGAGGTGGCGTTGGCTATCGTATAATTTGAGTATAACAAAACCATAAAGAAAAAGCGGCTGGCCAAAATAGATTCATGTGTGTGCCCATGACCAATTACCAAGTGGCCTTTTCGGTCCACCCTCTTTGAGTGAATTTTGGTGGCATGTAAGTGAAGTTGAGGTGCTGGAGAACAGCGAGTGGAACGGTTCTTTTAATATCAAACTGCGGACTTTGGCAAAAAGAAACTACATCAGGAAACCACAATTCTTTCCGTCCAAAGCTAAAGTAACTTGGATGAAATCGACATTTCCAGTCTACGTCTTGATTCTTCCAGTCTCCCTCTCTGTCCCATTATCTTCCGCTTTGTTTTAAAACTGTAGTGAAATTTTGAATCTTAGATTTAAAGGAGCTTGGAAAGAAAATAGGTGTTGCGTTTTAACGGCGATATGTGTGAAGCCACGTAAATAACACATTCTCGTGAGAAATCGACAACGGATGTTAATAATTAAAAAAAAAAAAGTAAGTCAACTGCGTGACCTCCAGGCAGTGTCCAAACTGTTCAAGGGAGTCCATTTTGAAGCTTGATGAAGGCGAAAGTCGATTTGAAAACGCAAATATTGTGAACGTAACGATCTGTCAAGCTCAGTTGCCATTAAAAAAGAAATTAATTGAGAAAGCCAAAAAGTTTAAATGTTTCTAGATAATTTCGTGAGAGGGGTATAAGGCTGGCGACATGCTTAGGTACTCTTGAATTCAGTAATTAAGACAAGTCCACACAAACACTCTATGCCCTCCACTGTAGACATAGCCATTCTAAATTAATCCATATATATATAATTTTTTACAGACATCAAGTGGAAGCCAAGTTTTTCATGATGTTCAAGCTATTTTCAAGCCGCAAGAACTTTTCTCAAAACAGTTTCCCTAATTAAAGCTTTCTAACCTTGGGCAAAAGCTCAGCATAGAAGTACACAGCTTTTGCGGTTTTAATGAACCCCGAAAGTCTTGAAGTTTTGTTTAAACATTATGTTATAAATTTTAAGGATATCAAAAAGTTGTTCCTTCTTCAAAGAGTATTTAATTTGATGGAATTATGTCACGACAATAATTGATTATGAAAGACAAAGAATTCCGAGAAATGAAAGACAGTTTTTGTTTAGAGAAATTTTTTAAATAGCCTGTTATGAAAGAGAAAGACTGCGGAGAAAAAAAAATAACGGTTTTGTTTCTAAGAAATGACACACACACTTATGGCCTCACGCGGTGGTGTGATTCTTTAAAAGAACAGGAAGTCAAAAAAGAGGTTAAACTTTGTTCGCTTACATTGCGTGACATTCTCAGAAAAACTGGAAGTTGATAATGTAATACATCAGGGGGTTTTCCCGAGGAAACGATTCATGGCATTTCTATTGTTTTGAGGTCACATGATAGTTGCATGATTTTTTCGACCAATCAACAAGTGTCTGATGCCTCGTACATGAAATCAGGTACTAAGAAGTGAAAGATACTCAGATACTAACCAGTTTATTTTATACGACAACAGTGGTTTCTCACTCGTCGGAATTAAGATAATGGTTTCTCACGCGTCAGAACTGAAATAGTGGTTTCTCACGCGTTGGACTTGATGATGCACGACACTGTTTATGAAGACTGTGGCACTTGTATGTAGACTACCACAGCTGTTGCATGTCGTGGTGTCTTCAAATTTTACGTGGTCCATAAGGGTAAGATGTTATACCATCTTCATGAGTGTATCTCTTATCACCAAAGCAGCTGAGTGATGCTTTATTAAGCTCATAGCTCCCGAGTTGATGATTCTTATTTTGGATGGTTTCATTGCACGATATTTTTGTTGCATATTGAGTGGTACGTTTTTGTAGTCATCGAGTTTTATTTTTTATTTAAATTATATTTTTTGGTGCCTTTAGCTCTTTTGCTGCCTTTTCATTATCCTTGATATAAGGATAAATTTTTGATCTTAAACCGACGGATTCAATGACTGTTGTTCCGGATGCTCCATCTTTGAATTTCCCGATTACTTTCTTGTTTGTTTTGTCGAATTATATTGAGTCTTCTGGATATTCACTGCTGTCGAGTTTATCTTTGTCACTGCAAAAGTCTTTGTAAACGTCTTCAGTTTCGATTACATAAGTTATACTTTTTGTGTCGGTGACAAGTAATTTTGCTTTGTGATTGTATTTCTTTCTGATGTAATTGTATTGAAAATCGTACATTTGTGTTTTAGAAAGATCAAGAATACTCATGCTTACAGAGTGATTTATTCTTTGATCTTATGAGTGGCTACAAGATTGTCATTAAAAATTTTATTGTTTACAGATGTTGGTTTTGAGCTGTATTTCAATATTTTTTTTCATCAGTTATGAGTTTGATATCTACCCTCCTGCGAATGGTTTCCATTGTTTTGCCGAATACGCTGTCACTCATAAGCTTGAAGAATCTTTTCAAATGAATTTCTGGCTGCAGTTCTTTTCTGTGTGTGAAAATCAATATTTTGCTACAACCAAGCAGACTGATTGAATTGTAAAGCACTGTGAACCTTCTTCAGCTTAAACCCGAGAATGAGATACAGTTGAAGGTTTCTGTATTGAGGTACATGTTTTTGTTTTTCAGACTGTGTTGGAACTAGTTTTTTAACCTGCCCGATGCTTTCATTGTATTTCTATCTTATCTTTTCACAACAATTTGAAAGCATATCTTCAGAAACACATATTTTTTCAGCGGTAAGTTGGTAGTCATTATAACTATCATGTCATTTACGTGGATACTCAAGATCAACTTCAAGAATCAATCCTTTTTCCCCCTACTTCTGTGTATTCAGCTAAATTGACTTTATTAATAGCTTTTTCACTAAACCATTTAAAACCACCAGTTGGAATATATTGACTCATGACCCAACCATATAGATTGTTAGCATAAAGGTACATAATATACTTTCATGGTGCTTTGTCATCATAGTTTCTCATGTAATTATTGTTGGCTTTTTCCATAGCTTTTCATATATCTGTATTTTGTTTTAATGGATATATCTGTATTTTGTTTTACTGGATATATCTGTATTTTTTTTTGATTGATATATCTGTATTTTTTTTAATAGATATTTTCTTTGAGAGCGTTACTTTCCTCCTCTATTTTTGTCCTTGGCATTGGAACTGGCATCATCATCTTTTTTGTCGTTGGCATTGGGGTCGGTTTGTACCCATCTCTGAACTCAAGTGGCGGAGGGATGATACTATCTTCATAATCACTTGTGTCCACGATATCATCTTGTCCTTTTATTTCCATAACATCATTACCAACTTTTTCAGACATGCGGTCCATAACACTTTTCAGATCTTGAATCTTGTCTTGATGCCCATTTGGTGTGTATAAATATATTTTGTCAAAAAAGACTAATGGCTTGCGCAGCATATACATCACAGTATTTGTCTTCCCTAATTTACCGCAAACTAACATGCGATACTCTTCATCCAAAAACTTGTTCAACCTTCTTTTTTGTTTTGCTTGTTATCGATATCATAGTTTGGAATCTTCATATTATATGGGTATATTAAAATATCTGCCGTTTGACATATATCTTATGGAATAACTGTCATTGAATATATATGTATGAGAATAACCGTCAAAAAGCACTTATTTATGTCACAAATATATGTGGATATTTCAAGACCGAAAAGAAATCTTGATACACGGATGCAAGTTGACTCTCTGAAACACCAGATATTAAGGGAAATCAAGGATCACCGTGATGGAAGAGACATGTATCAATATAAAACCAATTGTTGATTCCAAAACAGAAGGAAGCGAGGCAGCTGATGCAAAAAAGACTGATTCATCAAACAGCTTCAAGACAATCAATTGGCTTTGACAAAGGGTTAAGAAGATATTGTTGAAAAATACCAACTACCATCGGAATTAGCAGTAACAGGTATGGCTATGCAAAAACTTATAAAAGTAAAAATAAAAGCTTCAAGACAAGGATTAAACATTGGTTCCCTGAAATGTGCATTATTGATATAGTAGTATCCTAATGATCCTGGGATAAAAGTCCTTGACAATGAAATACGCGTTTGTATAAAATACAGAAAGGAATTAGATGAGCGTATCGACTTAATAAGGCCTACAAAAAATCAGGAGAAGGACTCAGAAACTACAAGCAACCAAAAAGAAATGCATACAAGATCAACTATGGACAGTATGGTGGCTGTTAGATTAATGTGCTACGGTTGACGAATGAAATGATCGTTGAGGCATATAAAGGGGGAAAAGGTTGTGTATGAAGACCGTGGTGACAAGAGTTTGATTGATTTGTTGACAAAGTGTTTCAATTCAAAAAATAAATTTTCAAGCAAAGCTGTCCAGATATTCAACAACCTCAACATGTTGTCAGGCATACCAAAACACACATCTTAGGCAAATCAAAACTGACTGGCGGTATGGTATATTACACATCTCCAGAAGATTTGATGAAACGATTGACTCTTTTGACTGGCGCACGTCGTGCAGGTAACAATAACAACTAAGAAATGAGGTATGCCAGATGTTTGATGAATTGTTGAAACTGTCGGCGATATCAGAAACACAACATGACGCATATATCAGGCAATATTTAATGTAATCTAATAATATATGAATAGACCATTTTTTCTGAACTCAAGTGATGGTTAAGAAACTCCAAAAGCCATGATTTCACCATCACTTTCACTCCACAATTGACGCTCCACAAAAACAGTAATTATTATCCTGCCGTCGACTCTGTCAACATGAGTCACAGCTGGTACAATGTTTCAGCAAATCACAACAAAAACACATTGAAATACAGTCATATACAGTGGAACTACTTGGACAACCGTGACGTTACTCAATGGGAACTTTTGATATGGTGAAATCAGCGGCTTCATACAACAGTCACTTGGATCAAACAAGCACGCAGAACTTTGTAAGAGACGTGAATATGTTTCTATTGATTTAAAAAATCCAATAACAATGCTTGCAAATGCTGAATCTCCGAAAAAGAGTGGTTACAAGTTTGTTGTTGATTCCAGGGATGAATCTCATCCATTTGATGGGTAAAATGCATATTTTGAGTTTGAATTTTGAATTTCAATTCAATTCGGACGAGTGAAAAACCACTATTTCGGTTCCCACGGGCGAGAATCCACTATTGTCATATGAAATAAACTGGTTAGTATCTGGGTATCTTTCACTTCTCAAGAACTGATATCATGTACGATGCATCAGACACTTGCGAAAAAAATCATGCGACTATATATCATATGACCTCAAAACATTAGCAATGCTATGAAACATTTCCTCGGGAAAGTCCCTTTTGTATTACATTATGAATTTCCGGTTTTTCTGAGAATGTCACGCAAGGATAAGCGAGCAAAATTTAATCTCTGTTTTGAATTCCTGGTTTTTTTAATAAATTGAATAAATCATGACAGAATTCCATCAAATATTTTCATTATATGGAAAGTAGTATAGACTTGATGTGTTAAAGCTTTGATGAAATGAGCTGGAACCGCCAACTCCTATACTACTCATCTTGTCGACAAACAGACCCCAATGCCAAAGACAAACCAAAATATGTATCCCGAATAAGCTGCATTTAATATATCTTTCTGATCTATTGAGGTCGAGCCTGAACAGTCCCTACCTAATCACGTTTTCTGACAACAAATTTCGGTTTTCTGGCATCTTACGCAGAATTGACTTCATAACGTATTCACAACCATCTCTACCTTAAAACGAAAAGCTCACGGCTGAAGTGAAGGGGATTTTTCTTGTTTTTTTTTAGATTTCTCTGCGTAATTAATAGGGGAAAAATCCCATGTCTACTTTCATTTAAAGCGAACGTTGTGTAGTTTGTTGTTTGGATCTGCGCTCCATAGTTTTTGTTTAAAAGCTCGTGAACTTTTTTTTGTTTTCTGTTAAGATCCTATTTTCGCTTTGACCTCGACAACATACGCTTTTTGCTTTCATATCTCTTTTCTTCTTTTTCATCTCCTGTATACAACAACTCTTTGTGCGACATGCGAAGGCCAGAGGTTTCATCTCCGAACCTCTACTATGACTTATTAAACTCCAAATCTGTGTGTCTATCTGCCTTCCTATCACCCTTCCGAGATACCAAAACTTTACTTGCAAGAAATGAGCGCTGAAGAAACGTAATGATTTGGAAACAGAATAAACAAAATACTGAGTATTCAAACAGACGCCACACGTTATAAATGTTCGTCGACTTACCCATATTGGTAGAGATTTAAGGGGTTGATCCCACTTTGCCACGTTCTCCTGAAGCATGTAACCAAGCACAAGACAGAAAATAACTTGGGAAACATAGTGATGCAGCCCTCTCTAAAGCGTTCATAAACGAATCCACAGCCGGTCTGTACAGACTCAGGCAGACTTAACGAGAGGTCCCTATTATAAAACACCGATGACGTAAGGCGTAACGAAAAGAGCATGCGCAAGGTGAAGAGGAATCTACGATTTGCGGAATAGTGTATAGGTGAATGATATCTCGAAATAGAAAATAGCAATGCTTGCCGGCTTTTTTCAAATCAAGCAACATTTTGTTTAACTTTATTTGAGTTTTTTACTAGTAGGATCAGAGTTTAAGACTGCATACGTACTTTTGTCATTGAGAAGGGACAAAGCTTTGTCGTACTAT